GTATCGATTTTTCTTTTTTTATAAAGAAATGACAGAATAAATCAGTACCGAAAACCGAAGACCGATCAATACCTAATTTTTTCATCAAATTAACGCGGATAAATGAACGATTCGTATTAATTTTCTGTTTTCTTATAGAGAAATGAAAGAGTAAATCAGTACCGAAAATCGAATATCGTTTAATACCATCAATCAGTGTCAGAAAATTGTCCAAGTGCAATGACAATTTGTTCTCATTTTTTAGGTACTTACCCCTCTAATTTACTCAACAAATTAACTCGGTTAAACGAACGATCCGTATCAATTTTTCTTTTTTTATAAAGAAATGACAGAATAAATCAGTACCGAAAACCGAAGACCGATCAATACCCAATTTTTTCATCAAATTAACGCGGATAAATGAACAATTCGTATGAATTTATTTTTCTTATCGAGAAATGAAAGAGTAAATCAGTACCGAAAATCGAATATCGTTTAATACCATCAATCAGTGTCAGAAAATTGTCCAAGTGCAATGACAATTTGTTCTCATTTTTCAGGTACTTACCCCTCTAATTTACTCAACAAATTAACTCGGTTAAACGAACGATCCGTATCAATTTTTCTTTTTTTATAAAGAAATGACAGAATAAATCAGTACCGAAAACCGAAGACCGATCAATACCCAATTTTTTCATCAAATTAACGCGGATAAATGAACAATTCGTATGAATTTATTTTTCTTATCGAGAAATGAAAGAGTAAATCGGTACCGAAAATCGAATATCGTTTAATACCATCAATCAGTGTCAGAAAATTGTCCAAGTGCAATGACAATTTGTTCTCATTTTTCAGGTACTTACCCCTCTAATTTACTCAACAAATTAACTCGGTTAAACGAACGATCCGTATCAATTTTTCTTTTTTTATAAAGAAATGACAGAATAAATCAGTACCGAAAACCGAAGACCGATCAATACCCAATTTTTTCAAAAAAACTAACGCGGATAAATGAATGATTCGTTTGAATTTTTTTTTCTTATCGAGAAATGAAAGAGTAAATCAGTACCGAAAATCGAATATCGATTAATATCATAAATCAGTGTCAGAAAATTGTCCAAGTGCAATGACAATTTGTTCTCATTTTTCAGGTACGTACCCCTCTAATTTACTCAACAAATTAACTCGGTTAAACGTACGATCCGTATTAATTTTTTTGTCTTATAAAACAATGAGAAAATGTATCAGTACCGAAAATCGGGGACCGTTCATATAATTTTTTCATCAAATTAACGCGGATAAATGGACAATTTGTATCAATCTTTATTTCTTTTATAGAGATATCAAAGACTAAATCAGTATCGAAAACCGGATATTGATCAATACTATAAACCAGCGTTAGAAAATTGTCTAAGTGCAATGACAAGTTGTTTTTATCTTGCAGGTACTTACCCCACTAATTTACTCAACAAATTAAGTCGCACAAAAGAACGCTTCGTACCAATTTTTATTCTCTTATAAAGGAATTAGGGAATCAGTCAGTACCGAAAATAGAAGACCGATCAATATTTAATTTATTCATCAAATTAACGCGGATAAATGAACGATTCGTATGAATTTTTTTTTCTTATAGAGAAATGGAAGAGTAAATCAATACCGAAAATCGAATATCGATCAATACCGTAAGTCAGTGTCAGAAAATTGTCCAAGTACAATGACAATTTGTTTTCATTTTTCAGATATTTATCGCTCTAATTTACTCAACAAATTAACTCGACTAAACGTATGATTTGTATTAATTTTTCTTGTCTTGTAAAGAAATAAGAGAATAAATCAGTACCGAAAATTGAAGACCGATCAATATTTAATTTATTCATCAAATCAACGCGGATAAATACACGATTCGTATGAAATTTTTTTTCTTATAGAGAAATGAAAGAGTAAATCAATACCGAAAATCGAATATCGATCAATACTGTAAATCAGTGTCAGAAAATTGCCCAAGTGCAATGACAATTTGTTTTCATTTTTCAGGTACTTACCCTTCTAATCTTATTCAACAAATTAATTCGGATAAACGAACGACTGGTATCAATTTTTTTTGTCTTATAAAAAAATGAGAAAATAAATTAGTATCGAAAACCGAAGACTGATCAATACCATAAATCAATGTCAAGAAAATTGTCCAAGTGCAATGACAAGTTGTTTTCATCTTGCAGGTACTTACCCCACTAATTTACTCAACAAATTAAGTCGGATAAAAGAACAATTCGTATCAATTTTTCTTGTCTTATAAAGAAATGAGAGAATAAATCAGTACCGAAAATTGAAGACCGATCAATATTTAATTTATTCATGAAATTAACGCGGATAAACGAACGATTCGTATGAATTTTTTTTTCTTATAGAGAAATGAAAGAGTAAATCAATATTGAAAATCGAATATCGATTAATACTATAAATCAGTGTCAAAAAATTGTCCAAGTGCAATGACAACTTGTTCTCATTTTTCAGTTCTCATTTTACTTACCCCTTTAATCTTATTCAACAAACTAACTCGGATAAACGAACGACTCGTATCAATTTTTTTTGTCTTATAAAAAAATGAGAAAATAAATCAGTACCGAAAACCGAAGACTGATCAATACCATAAATCAATGTCAAGAAAATTGTCCAAGTGCAATGACAAGTTGTTTTCATCTTGTAGGTACTTACCCTACTAATTTGTTCAATAAATTAAGTCGGATAGAAGAACGATTCGTATCAATTTTTATTCTCTCATAAAGAAATTAGAGAGTCAGTCAGTACCGAAAATTGAAGACCGATCAATGTTTAATTTATTCATCAAATTAACGCGGATAAATGAACGATTCGTATGAATTTTTTTTTCTTATAGAGAAATGAAAAAGTAAATCAGTACCGAAAATCGAATATCGATCAATACCGTAAATCAGTGTCAGAAAATTGTCCAAGTACAATGACAATTTGTTCTCATTTTTCAGGTATTTATCCCTTTAATTTACTCAACAAATTAACTCGAATAAACAAATGATTCGTATCAATTCTTCTTGTCTTATAAAGAAATGAAAGAATAAATCAGTACCGGAAATTGAAGACCGATCAATATTTAATTTATTCATCAAATTAACGCGGATAAATAAACGAGACGTATCAATTTTTTTTCTTGTAGAGGAATGAAAGAGTAAATCAGTACCGCAAATCGAATATCGATCAATACTAGAAATCAGTGTCAGAAGATTGTCCAAGTGCAATGACAATTCGTTCTCATTCCCGAATCTTTTCCGAGTCGAAATATTAATTCTACATTGATCCTGCAAATTGCATCCAATTTGAAAAATCAATGCAGAATATCTAGATGCGCAATAGTGAACAAGCTTTGTCCTACCTGAACGTTACATCTGGCTACTCTCGCAGTCTCGCCCATGATGAGTCTTCAACAGCGACCGCAGTATTCCGCAGTTATTTAATACTCGTTTATTTCGATAATGTATATGTACTTAATCCTTATATTTTTAATTTAAATGGGCAATTTTTGTTGATTTTGATTATATATTCGCTTAACAGCGCAAGAAGGAGACCAAAGATAAAAACGTAAATAGAACTGCCTTTGTTAGAACTGCGCATGAGATAAATATATAAGGATTAAATAATCATATAAGAATTAGAGGAAATGGGAGATGAAAAATACATTTAATTCTCATCATTCTTAAAGTCCTTTTTTCCTTTTTTCTTCTCTTTTTTTTCTTTTCTTTTTTTTAATGAGAATGATGAGAATTGTAGCTCTCAAAAGAGCTGAAGCTGCAAAAAGACAACGGTTATGTCTAATAATGCTGTTTCACTAAGAGTTCACTAGAGATTTTAATTCAGATTCGGTATAATAAGAAAGATAAAAAGACCAGAATGAGAAACGGACATTCTAGCAGATTCTAAACGAAAACAGCAATCTGAGCATTATTAGACGAATAAAAATCAACACTTGTAAAATTTATATCAGATCCTAAGATCATTATTCATAGTTTTTTAAATTATGTGCAATTTTTCATTGAGAACATAATTACAAATTTGTATTGATAAACCGTAGCTTGCCTCAGCAACTTTGCTTGAATAGACATTTATATTTTATGTGAAAAGAAAAGTAGAACTCATATTACGTGGAATTAGGTTAATCGGAGGAATAATCAAATCTCAAGCTATTTTATAATTTTTGAAATATAAACTATGAATGCTGATCTAATTTCGACTCGGATATGTCCTTACTTCGAGTAAGGTCCGTTAAAGTCAGAAAAATAATAATGCGTAATAATAATAACTCAAGGTACCTCAAATACCATATATGATGTATTGCTGTCCTCGGCTACGTCTCTCGGCGCGCTCCGAGTCCTCTCTCCATCCTGACTTCTCGATCCGACGTCCTTCTGGTCTCCGTCGCAGCACCCCCGGATTCTCCATCGTAGCACTGGCGACGACACTGACTCTAGCTCTAACACTCGCGCAAGTAAGATTCGGGGACAAAGAAACGCGTATTAACCGCGATACGACTACCGACACTCGTACTGCGTCGCGGTATGCGCGTCGTTCGTCGGCCCGAGGCGCAATGTCCTTTCCGCAATCACGGAGTCATGTATAACTGTACGAAAACAAACAATCGGGTAGGCACGGTTACCCCCCACCAGTCGCTGACCTTGCCGATCAGTGTTGATGCCTGCGTCGTCCGTTAGCTGAAAATGAAAACAACTCGTGTTTTCAAAGCATGCCTGTGAGAGACTCGCTTCAAATTTCACAATACATATTTACGTCTGTTCCAAGAATCATATTACGCCGAATTCGAACTGTCTCTATTGATATGACATACACGAGAGATGCGATCGCATGATTGATCTTTCTTTGGACAAGAAAATTCTGAGAGGAACGCTGTTCGAGAATATCGCATTTTATGTTTCAGGTGCCTTGCAGATTATCGAATCCGATGTAACAGATCAGAGAAAGTATGAATGCGTCGCTATGAATAACACCGTGGGCACGGAGTACTCCAAGTCAATCATGTTATACGTGAAACGTACGTATATTTAATAATTATATAAAACTTATCTTTTTAAACAAAAAGGTAAAAAGAAGGCGCCAAGTACAAGCGCAACACGTATTGTGTTATTTTTAGAAGTATCAATCTCAAATTATTTTTTTATTGTATATATGTGTACATAAGTTTTTACAAGTAAAACTTATAACTATAATAAAACTCTGCAACATTTTTCTATTGTACAAAAGAAGTGATATATTAGAACAGTAACGCCAACTGAGAAACCTGACATATATATATGATTGTTGTATACTTAACTTAATATTTTTAGAAATCTCAAATTCAAATTATTTTCCTTTTTAAGATATATATTATGTACATAACATAAGTGTTTATAATATATGTATGTAAACTTTTGAAAGTAAAAATTATATCGTGTTATAAAAATTCAACACGTTTGTTAATAGTGTGCAATATTTAAAAACAATATCTTTTTAAAGGTTATGTTATTCAAAATATTCAAGAAAACCTAGCTACAAAAAATGTCCGTACCATAAATTTTTACAAGTAAAATTTATCATTATTTATTAAAACACTGAGTCATATGGTTATTTTACTTGTTATTGTACCAAATTAATTATTATAACAATGCAATAAAAAAATATTTGATACAAAAAATCTTGACGCGGCTGCACCAAAAACTATATCGAACTAAAGCTTGTTTAATACACATATGACAGCATTTTTATTATAATGTATTCTATAATGAAGGTTTATAATTTATTTATTATAATACTATATAAACTTAAATAAAACATTATACCGTATATGTATAAAGAGAATTTACAAGAACATTTTATTATAATAAAAATGCTGTCATGTATGTATTAATCAAGTTTTAGTTCAATATAGTTTTTTAAAGTCAAATTAGATATCATTGACATTTCGTCAATTATAATAAGAAAAACATCTTTGAATAAAAAAATATCAAAATATGTAGAATATATACACATTCGATATGTATATTCGATAGTGAAGGTTTATAATTTATTATAATATTATGTAAACTTAAATAAAACATTACACCGTATGTATATAGAGAGAATTTACAAATACATTTTATTATAATAAAAATACTGTCATATATGTATTAAACAAGTTTTAGTTCGATATAGTTTTTGGTGCAGCCGCGCCAAGATTTTTTCTATTAAATATTTTTTATTATATCGTTATAATAATTAATTTGTTACAGTAACAAGTAAAATAACCATATAACTCAGTGTTCTAATAAATAATGATAAATTTTACTTGTAAAAATTTATGTTATGGACATTTTTTGTAGCTAGGTTTTCTTGAATATTTTGAATAACATAACCTTTAAAAAGATGTTTTTTCTTAAATATTGCACACTATTAACAAACATGTAAAATTTTTATAACACGATATAATTTTTACTTTTAAAAGTTTATGTACATATATATCTTACAAAAAAAATAATTTGATAAGTTTTACTTATAAAAACTTATGTTATGCACATAATATTTGAAAAGATGCTTTTTTTTAAATATTGGACACTATTAACAAACGTGTTAAATTTTGATAACACGATATAATTTTTACTTTTAAAAGTTTATGTACATATATTATAAAAACTTATGTTATGTACATAATATATATTTTAAAAAAGGAAATAATTTGAATTTGAGATTTCTAAAAATAGCACAATACGTGTTGCACTTGTACTTGGCGCCTTTTCTTACCTTCTTGTGTAAAAGGGTAAGTTTTATATAAGTTTTACTTGTAGAAACTTATGTTATGTACACATATATACCGTTCGGGCGCAACTTCGTTGCGCTTGAACTTGGCGCGTGCCTCTTGATGATTTCTTAAAAGCTTAAAAAAGTTGACGCGTTCAACACACACGTGTGTGTGTTTTTTTTTATTGCACTGATATTGATGTCCTCTTTTTTTAATTTCATTCTCCGAACTATATTTTACTAGGGAACCTACTATATGATCATTGTGCTAGAAGAGAACAGAAATTACGCGGAGCGTTTAAACTGGGAAATCATCAATCGTGGAAACTTTTAATTTATGAAGTTTTTCAGACGTGAAAACTAAAATAAAGACGAATTTCACGTGAATAGATTGAACGGAGAAACAAATTTTAACAGATGTTTGTCGAAATAAATAACGCTACGTACAAGTGCACTGCAAGGCCAACCGGAACTCTGTATTAGCAAACGAAAGAGATTTAATTTATTGCGATATTTTTAGAGAGAAACAGCTGGTTCTTTTGGCTCGTACTTTTTATGAAGAAAATATTAATACATTTCAATATACAGTTGTTACACGTGGGCGTTTCCCACCCAAATTATTCAATTTTTTCTTCTTATTGTGCACGCGACCAAACCGCATGGCAGTGTTGCAGCGAGACAACTGCTTTAAATATATTTCAAGCCGTGTAACTTCATTTTCTCCCCCGAGGAAAGGACAATACCTTCGGATGAACCGTTTTGCTTTTTCATTTAAACGCAGCACGCGGCATCGCCTGTCGAAGCTTGGATGAGTTTACGAACAATGCCACTCGTGTTCTTCAATTGTGCGACTATCGGGACAATTCGACGTGGTTTATTCGGTAGTCTATCTCGGAGAAGAACGAGAGGAGGAGGAGAGGACGACGCGCGCGTATACGAGAGATACACTCCGCTAGATCCCGATCGAGACGGGAGGTCAATCCGCTCGTGGACGGGTAGAATTCTGCTGATAAAACAACGAAAGAAAAGACTACGCCCCCGTAACGAGGCAAAGCGCGTCCGGAATCGTTCTTCAGATTACGCGCCAACGATCAGCAGTGCCAGCGGCGTTAATTCCTCTTCCGCGATCAACCTCCCGTCATTCTTTCACTCTTACATTCGTTCGTTCTCGAGAAAGAAGGGGAAGAGAGAGAGAGAGAGAGAGAGAGAGAGAGAGAGAGAGAGAGAGAGAGAGAAAGACAGGAAGAGAGATAAATAGAAGGGCAGAATGGAAATGCTGATGATGATGAAATACAGAAAAATACAGATGGAGAAGATAGAGGGATGATGAGTGAGCAGAGGGAGGGGAAGCGCAGGAGGTAGAGGGGTAATTGCACGGGACGCGATGGGGGAGGAAAAAACATAAGAGAAAGCGAAGGGAGAGGTGAGATGGGGTGAGGTGAAAAAAAGAGTGAGAATTAAGCGAAGGGGAAGAAAATCGGGCGATGGGGACCAGCGGTAAGGAGAAAGATAAAAGAGAAATGTATAGGGGTGATGAAGCGGAGTGGGAGTAAGATATAAGGGGGAAATAGGTACAAGTGAGACGAAAAGAATAGGGGGGAGAGAGAGAGTAGGACGTAAACGGCAGGTGTTAATAATAAGGGAGGGAGGATTGAGGTGAGGGAGGAAGTGTAGAAGTGATGGAGGGTAAGAGCGCGAGAGCAGAAGGGTGGAATAGGAGGGAGGGGAGGGGAGGGAAGATAATAAAAGAGAAAGGAAGAGATAATTGTAGAGAGAAAGAGAAGAATATAAAAGGAGAGATAGGAGAAGAAAGGAGAGAGGGTTTAGATATCGGGCAGAGGGGATAAGCATTGGGAGAGGAGAAAAGGGATTGAGGGGATGGAGGGTGAGAAAGACGGGCGGCGGGGGAACGTGGCAAGTTTAAACGGCATAACACACACAGTTCGTACGTGCGTACGCTCTTTTTCACTGCGAGTTATTTTAGGCTAGGTGATAGGTGTCGACTCACGCGTGTATACGCGTGTTTGCCCCACGCGCCTCATGAGGCACCGTCGAGGTACTGAAACTTGATGGCAATGAGCGACAGCATGTGGCAAAGAGCAAGCGCGAGACTATGTATCGCCGTAAACTGTGCGTGTTGTACATACGGGCGTGGCACGACGCGAAATTTGCCCGAATCAAGGCCGCGATGAATCGGAGTAGACGGGAGAATAAAAGCATCCCGTCTGTTGTTGCGTAAATTTCTGCACGTCTCGGCGAGAAAAATATCCAGACCGCCTCAGGTCCGTTGTCAAATCGATGTTCTACCGGATTCGCGCGCAAATAATCGTATTCTCTGAGAGAGAAAGGCCAGACATTAAAATCAGCAATTAGATCAATGTCTATTGAATGAATACTCTGCTATATTGTGTGTAAACTTTATTAGCTTGGAAGGTTGAGGATCAATCTGCATAATTAAAAATGGAACAGGTAATGCGCGTAATTGGCATCAACTTTATAAGCGATTTATTAATACGAGTACATCCTTTGCATAATTTCTACAAATCTAACCACTCATACTTATCACAGAGGTTTACATGAATTGACAATGGAGATAATTGAGATAGACCGAAGAAAATTTTAGGAATCTTGGAAGTGCTCTATCCGACAATCAGTTGACATATCTGACGATACTTATGTTGCGACAAACGAAATATTGTGAAAGATTCATACTGCGTCCGACGTACGACGAGCTGATATCCGATAGGAGGTCTCATTGTTTCTAGGATTCCTCGTTAGCAACATTTTTATCTCCAGGAAACGAATTCTGCTGTTGGAATGTCGGACGCGGTGTGAACTCTCCATTAGCCTTAAACTGTAGTTTTGCGTAGCCAACCAGGTTGGCAGATGCATTGCTTGGCTGTTGTAGATGAGCAATTTCCAAGGTCTTCAGCATTTTCTCCTGATTTCTGCAAATAATTTATTTGGCAGCCAACTAACATGTCCAACAAGTTTTTAAACGAGATATTAGCCAATAGGTAGTGTATTTATGTATAATCATATTTAAGTTGTCTCAAAATACTATGCTAATCAAAATGGTCGAAGATAATGTCTTGAGATAAATTTCAGACAGAATATGAAATTGGACGTATGTTTCGAAACATAACAAGACAAATTAGACAAATTTTAAGATTCAAATATAAGATTAGACTATTAAAAGCCATTCGTGCATTCTTCTTTAGTCTTTATAAAACTCCTTTAAAATATGTTAACATAGCTTCGCTAGTATAAAAAAACGTAACGATCTGGTACATTTTGATGTTCCATCTTTGGAAAATCTGAATACATATACCAATCTGAAAGTCACTAAATATAAAACTTTCCGATAATCACATTTTCCTACATCTCGTAGCTTCGAAGATGTTCGTTAAAAACTAAAAAGTCCATATTTCCCAGGAACGGAATTTCAATCCGTAAACGTTGAGCTGAGCACATAAAAAAATACTCTGATATTGCGTCTGATATTTTTAACCGCTCTGCAAATATCCAAAGCCGCTTATAAATCGGTGAGAGATACTTTGGACGGTTCCCTTCTCAATATTTGATAGATACTTCGCTCAGTACCTCGTTGCTTTTCCGTTAAATGGATCCGAAGCGTACCATCGACGCAATTTTACAGCTAAACACGACTTTGTGATCAAAGCAACACACGCAAATCACGAACTTATTTCGTTCTGACCACTTCACGAATAACAACAATGTTACTTGATAGCGAGCCTGGATTTGTATCATCTCCTATCCATAATCCGCCTACTCATCACGTCGCGATAAATCACAATTTTCCGCGATCGTCATGTTATTACGCGTATTGATTGTAGGTGAATGTAGCAACCGGGGAATTACACATGGAATGAAACATTCATATCCAATTACCGACGGTACGTTTCGGTTCGTCGCGGCGGAGGAAGTGGCGTGCAACCAGAGAAGCGAGAGGCTGTCCCGACGCATAATTAAGGTCCGTCTTCATATCTAATGCATGTGTCCCCCCAGTCATAATCGCGCTTGTTATCAATAGTGGCCATTGGCTTCGCCGGAGCGAGCCAATTTGGGCCGAGTTTTACCTCATAAACTCGGCACGACACGAGCGAGCCCTTTTAGAAATCTCTTTAATCTTCGACGCTAAATATCTCAGTAGCCGCGTTAGGACTGAAGATTTCGTTTCGAGAATCAGATCCAAGGTGACCCAGGCGGAGTAGTTGCTGCTACGCAGCACGGCAAGTAGCAGAAGCACGTTGCAGAAGCGAGTAACTCGCTTCTGCCAGCCGAGGCCGAGGAGAGCCTTTTTTTCAATCGCACACGACTCGGGGAAACATCGAAAGGCAATCGGCGCATTTTCCCACAAATGGGACGCCGAGGGGACACGAGGATGATCCGCGTGTTGGGTCGCAGTTAGCAGCACGAAGCATGCACACCCGACACCAGCACGACATCCTGCGCACGACGATAACATGCAGGCTGGCCTCCTCCTCGAAGCGACATAATCCGCTCCTTCAAGGTGTAGCGTGGCCGTTGGAGCGCGAGCTGCCGCGTAACCTGTTTTCATTTTTATCGTCGGCATCAGGTTTCAACGCAGGTGAGCCGCGAAGGTGCCGGCCGGAGTATGGCAAACCAGCCTACATCCCTGGCGCAACGTTTCCTTCTTCTTCTACGTCGTCGTCGTCGTCGTCGTCGTCGTCGTCGTCGTCGTCGTCGCAGAAACGCATTGACCTTCGAAAGGAGAAGTATCGGCGCGAATGAGTGAACGAAGTGAGCTCAACGAATGCGCATGCGGTTCGCGTACAAACGTACGTACGTTGATGTCGTCGTTATTTCACGGCGACACCGACAAAAGGAACTTGTAACACCATGTAGCTCGACGCTTTCAATCCGCCATGGAGCCGACGCCGACGGAGTGCGGCTCAAAGTCATCGCTCGCACTCTCTGTAGTGTGTACGAGCTCACGAACGAGAGCCAGCTTCTTTCGCTCGTCGATCGAACAGCTTGCTCTTTCAGACTAAGCGAAGCGGACGTTGAGAAGATTCCAAAGTATCCGGGGAATTATATATATCAACGCGCCAGTAAAATGCTTGCGAAACGGCAGATTTTCCGCTCGAATTTGTCGCCGTACGTCGCTACGTACAAAACCGGCGGAACGTAAAGCTTAATGCGGGCTGGTATCAATTGCAGGCGCAAATTCATATCAATGCGCCGATGCGTCGATCGAACCCGCTGTTGCGTCGCTGTCATGTCGCTGTCATCGCGTGCCGCGTCGCTGCATTCGCTATCACTGTACTCTGTTTGGAAAAGAATTGTCGATATTCTTTTTTCTTTTTTCATTCGGAATAATTGTAGAATATTACAATAGAAGATTACAATTAGAAAATATATAACTAAGGATTAATCGCGGCGTGGAATTAATTATTAGTGCTGTCGATATGAACCGGATGTCCAAGCTCGCGCACCGCCATCAGAATACCCGAAGTCAAAAATACTTTTTATTGGAATTATGGTTTTTCTTAACAGGAATAAAAATTTTTCTCACCTATAAATACCCAACGATCTCACTACGGACAGCGGATTAAAAATCAAGCTAATGTGATAATCCAATCTCTCAATTCTAAAAATTCAGGGAATCACCCTCTTCCTCATCTACAATTTCAAGTCACTCGTCTCTCTGAAAGGGTGAATGGGAATATTCACGAGATGTTGGAAATAAATTCACGATGGACACGGCGCCAACCCGGAAACCAGATCAGGGAGCTTATATAGCGAGAGGCATAGGTTAAGTTAGGTTGAGTTACATTTTCTGCAGTGTGGAAGACGAAGCTCATATGTATTAGCTAGTGCGCTTTCCAATCTTTTATTATTAATAATTTTGTGGTAAACAATGAGCGACGACTACAATCTTAATGTCGCACAATGCGATGGACAAGATCGTCAGAGAGGCATTCACCTCGATCAAAGTATTTGCGAAAAACCTCTGTTAGAAAAAAGAAAAAAAAAAGAGGAAAGAAGAAAAAATAAACGACCTTCAAATTCGGAGCTACTTCACCTAAAAAAAGAAAAGAAACGCTGGGTTATCTTCCCGTTTTGTTTCGCATTCACCGTTGGTAGATCCCTCCGCGGGTTAAATAAAACACGTCGTGTTGGTAATATGTGCTTAAACATGTAATTTATATCATAATTATACATCGTATATATTAACGTGTTTTTTTTTGTTCTTCTTCCTTCCTTGTCACAGGATTGATAAAGTACTGCGCGATGGATAGTACGTCCACGAGTCAAGGTGCGATGTAAGTATAAAACTCTAAAATGATCCTTTTATTTGTTCTTGCTTCGCCTCGCATACACCTAGCGGTAAGTGTGTGTCTCTCTACGCGCTTACATATAGAGAAAACAAAAATCATTATTTCTCCGAGATATTTTACATTTTATTTACGTTCTTACGCGCTAGATAAACGATCATTTCGATATTTTGTTCGAACATATACAAGCGTCACTTTCTTTCTTTCTTTCTTTCTTTCTTTCTTTCTTTCTTTCTTCTACCTCCGCCGTCTTCTTGCACGCGTACGTACCCCACTTATGTACCACGCGTTGCACGTTAAAGCTTCTCTCATTCACATCTGTGTGTCGATAGCCCTCGGCGCTTGTCTCTCCTTTCTCTACTCTTACCGTCGGTAATTACATCACAGCTGTAACGTTCGCATATCAACCGCACACTTTCTTTCCCCCTTTAACAGTTCCTCTTGCTTCCTCCCCCCCCCTCCTTCACTCCCCGCGGCCTCTTTAAGTACATTAGACACGACCGAAGAGAACATCAAGTACATAACGTGTTATTTTTCTTCTTTTTTTTTTCTTTTTTCTTCTTAACACTTCTTCGCTTTACTTACACGCTATTATATACAATTTTACGAATACCAGCGCATCATGAATCCGCAGCGTTCGCTCGGAGCAACGAGAGCACCATTTCCTTTTCTATAGGACACGACCATGAAAGACGAAAGTGCTGTTCAAAACCGGTCGATTACTTTTGCGAGCGCGTGAAGGAGAGAGATAAAGAAGAAACGGGGGACGGGGGAAGAGGGGTGGGGATTAAGTGGAGGAGAGTATGTGTGGTGCGTGCATGCGTATGTGAAAAAGTATGAGAAAGCAGAGGAGGGAAGAGCGGGAGGCAAGGAGGGACGAAGAGCGAAAGAACGAGAGAGAAAATTCAGAGAAGAAATGGGAGAAAATGAGAAACGTGGCAATCGTAACGGAACGGAAAATCTCCGTATTGAGCAACGCAGCCCGATTTTCAACACTTACTCTCCATCCCTGCCATCGGCCTGCAGAATAATCGCTAAAATCGGGCACGAGATGACGAGATCGCTGGCGACAGTTAGAAGCGAATCCGGGAGCGAAGGTCGTAAAGCGATACACAAGATTTGTTTTCTATTGCCGAAGTACTGTATATACTTCGACAACTCAAAAAGAGACAGTTGAGACTTGTTGGAAGAAAAGAGAGGAGGACTGCAAGATGGTGTAGATAGTTTACCGATGGAAAACAAAGCTACAGTTACGTCAGATCTATCCCGAATAAATAGCGGTAATAACGGCAACTGACACAAAAGACCGGCTCGATGTTTTCTCATGTTGCGAAAGAACTTTTTTGCCACCTATATATCCTGCTCTTACTATCCGCAACGATATTTCCTTCGCTTTCTACTGATGTATCTGTATATTGCGCTCTCTCTCTCTCTCTCTCTCTCTCTCTCTCTCTCTCTCTCTCTCTCTCTCTCTCTCTCTCTCTCTTTCTCGTATCTCGATAGATTTTTGTCCAAACACGCGATTGAAACTATATTGCATAGCATACGTCATTCAACTGTGGAATCTCATAATTGGAGGAAAATAAACACATGTCCCTCTGTGTTTTTCTCCCCAGCTCTTGTCCGTGTAAATTACGAAATTCGGAGCTGAAGTAATCTTCCTGCGTTTTGCGTCTCACATTTTAACGAATTGACATCTCTTTGGAATTCTTCCGCAAAAATGTTACGACGGATGTTGTTGTTGCTTGTGATCGTTCCATCTCACAAATCTTGAATAGCTGTCTTAAAATAGTTATCTAACGTTAAAATTCTGTTGGGACAATTTGCTTCAAACGGAACTTCAAAATGAATAAAGAATATCCCAGTGAGTAGGTAGAAATTCATATTCACTTGCAGCTTAATTAGCCAAGAACTCTTCATATTCACAGGGACTTGCGATTTAACGTTACATCGAACGTTAAATCGAATTTTGTTATAGAAACATGAAACATGATGTGTTAATGTTGACACTGACAAAAGTCGATTTCAAGACCGTCTGTAGCTCTCTTCCACAGACATCCACTTCATAATCCATATAAATTAGACTGCCAACTCCCTTGTATACTGAGCAAAGAACTGAGCCGCGAAAAGTACACATATATATATATATATATTGTTTGAAATTCAACCAATTAGACGTAAATATTATAATACTTATGCGACGCATGCGCGTAAATTCTGTACATACTTTTCGGAGCAATTAGCAGTCTAGTAATGTACATAAAAGTTTGCGGCGTTGGGCGCTTCACGGGAAACAACACGTTTATTTTTCGCCAATTTTGAAACACGCGCAAACGTCTGAGATACCTTAACATTTAGCCTTAATAAAATCGCTATCAGATGTATATCTGGCTTGTTATTTGCTCAAACTATCTCAAAACCTCTTCCAGCAAAACCACGTCACTAACTCGCGTAATAAATATATCTACTATCTGCAAAAGAAAAAAAAAAGGGAAAAAAACATTATTGCTACGAACCTTGAATGTTATATCGTTATTATCATCGGAAACGAAAAAAGAGATACGTTTTGATTTTACGTGGAAGTTACCTCGTCTCTCCTTTAGTCGTTTGACAGATAAATAATGATACAACTATCAGTAAAGTAAACTTGCACCAACGACACGTATCAACACGCGATTAAGATACTTGTGATACGCGCAAATGAAACTTTTGTTCACATGTAAAAGCTATTATTTTGACGGCCTGTTTTTCCTCGACCAGCACCGTGCGGTGTCTTCACGGTAATTTCTCTCGAAAATTTCGGATGATAAAATTGTTATCCGTATTAGTCCAGCCAATAAACAGTTCAACGAACAACTGAGTTTTGTATTTCTCCTAAAGAACAACAATCACGATAGGTACGAATATCTGACGAGTCTGATCGAGGTTATCGAAGAAATAACGAGTTGTTACCGCTTCTTTCGCATTCCTATCGAATGCTTTTTAGGGACTCTTTTTAGGAAACATTTCCATTGTGTAATGGAATATTGAAAGTATTATTCTTTCCCTCACGCGCGTGGAAATCGCAGCATAAATGTTGAAACATTTCTGACGTTTAGTACGCAGATTTATAACGCTTTGTTTTTACAATTGAGCTTGCTGTGACACTCAAGTTTCCTGTGAAACAAGAGGTCTCGATTAATAAATAGTTCGAATAATAAAGTCGATTAATAAACAGGTTTTAAATAACATCGATATAACGCGTAACATAATATTGACGTATCGGCGTCAGGTTTGACATCAAGGATGTATGGGCTGTGCAATATTGGCAAAGAAATCGTTAAAATTTAAAAACATTTAATGATATTTAAACATACATGAGATACAGAAGTAATCAATTATTCATACTAAATTAACAGTTTTGAAACGAAATACGTGCCGAGATAAAATATCCCTTTCAAACGGACCGAGACAAATCCGAATGAGATTCCACGCAGATATCTTAGGGCTTCATTACTGCGTGTGACAAACATTTGAACGTCGCTGACTTCCTTCTTAGCCAAACTTGCTGCCTGATACCTGCTGCAAATACGCGCAAATGCAGCACTTTTGTTTGTCTTCCGCACGAACCAATGTAAAAATAATAAAAATGAGTTCACGAATCGATAAGAAAACTCGTATCAAAATTTTGCACGGATATTTGGAAGAAATAAATGCAATGATACACGAAATTTGTTGCTGCTCTGCGACAAATATCTCTACGTAACACCCATACATCCTTGGAAAATAAAGCTCTTAATATTAAATTACGTTTTCCATATTAGATAAATCAGATCTAGAATTAAGCAATCACATGTTCAGTGCCCAATGTGCGAAATATATCAATAAAGTAGATTGTCGTCTGCGTAGAACAAATTTAAAGATACTCGGATGAGAATTTCTGATGTACCATGTTCATTACGTGACAAACGTAGTGAGTACAGTGACACAAGCTGAGAAGCGTGTGAAACGTGACAACTGTTAAGGTGCTAATCCTGCGGATTAGTTCATTCTAGAGAAAGATGTATTGAGCAACGTGACTGTAAAATGCCGAATGGAATATACGATGAGGTTAATAATTTCACCAAGGAATACCCAGAATACTGAATACTGAATTTCAGTAGCATTTTTGTACAATATACAAAGTAAGCCTGGAATAAATGACTTTAATAAACTACATTCTTACAATATGGTCGCTTATTTCCGACTCACTCTATATATTTTTATCATATACAAGGTATCTGAAAACTCTTGAAGTAGCCATCGTGTGCAAGTAGAATGAATGAACATTTCATTAATTACGGAGTAACTCTTTGCAAAGTTTGCAAAATGATACACACCTTTTCCCTTCAGTTTGACCCTTGTTATCTATATACAGCTCAAGA